ACATTTTCAGATATATTTTTTAAAGAAATGTATTTATGGTAGTCTATGTTAGTAGCATTTTAAATTTAACACAGTACCAGATATTTTTTTACAAGAAAAATACTGCCATTTGAAAATAAATATTATCATGTAACCCCATAAAGATATGTATTCAGTGTCTTCTGCATATTAAGACTGGTAATTTGCAAATAGATGCAGCAAAGTTCATAAATAATTGACATCTATGCAATTATTATCCCTACTTTAAAAGCAATTAAGAACATAACTGTACGCTATCAGTATGTCGAATGCCCTAAAGATCTGTTGGCGTAGTGCGCCCATAAGTTTGATCGGAACTGGTGAAATGTTCAAACGGAGTGGCACATAAAATAAAATGGCTGCGATGCCTAGTAATCTATACTAGCAGACACTATAAAGTAAAGGCCGTATAATTTAGTGGTCCAATCCTGCGCATAATTTCTAATAATACAGAGTCCCAGCGTATTAAATTTGTCGCACATCGCACTATTACTTTGTCTGTTTTTGTATTATATGAAAAATCTTTTGTGTAAAATTTGTAGACTGTTTCTGTACTGAATTTTGTGTATTAACCCTGTTGCACAGCCACTGTTTTGATATTATTACTGGTAAAAAATTAAAATATATAAAGTTGGTGTACGCTTATTAGCGTTATGTTTATATCAACTTCTGTTAAGATCTGCCAACCGATTCAAAAGTTGTAAGGGAAGGAAATGACGACACACAAAATTTAATAAATATTGCACAGTGCTCCAATGACAAAAGGTTGACAAACTCAGACATGGTCCATACACATCTGAGAACAAGAGTGAAGCTTCTGAAATCAGAAACTAGAACCACAATGATGTTACACTGACCTGATAATTTTGATACTGAACCAATTATTAAACAATCGGAGACTATCTAATCCCTTGAAGATTTCTGTCTTCTGGGTTGTTGCGCTGCGTAGTCTGGTCAATGTTGACCAACGTTTCAGAGGTCATACTGCCTCCGTCATCAGGGCGATGAATGAAACGTTGGTTAACATCTACCAGACTACACAGCGCAACAACCCAGAAGACAGAAATCTTCATACTCACTGCTGTGAAAACCTCAAATCTTACATATCTAATCCCTTGTTTTACTTTTGTCCCGCAGGTGTCGGCATGGGATGAGCACTCTGAGGTGTGTTCAGGTTGATCTCAAGTGAGAGAAGATTAACTTCAAACTTTGTGCCAAGTCAGAGGGACATTTATACCTTCCAACCCAAAGTTCAAATCTCTACCACCTGTTCAGTATATAAAGCTGATACATATCTTCCGAATTACTTCGCGTGGTCATTGTCTGTTTTGTCTAGCATTTTTTTCCATTATTTCATTAAAACAAATCCTTGTATATTTTTATTGCCAAATGATGCATTTCTTTTATGGCCGGGTCAGTATAAAAAAAACTTTGTTACCAGAATGATTATGGGTATAAGTCGATGTGAAAACGTTATAAGATTGCTTAAGTTAATTAGAAACTGTGCTGTGATATTAATGTTGTTGCTGAATTCTGTGTTTGCTACAAGAGAATGTCTTGTCAGATGGCTCTGAAAGAGTTATCTATTTCTTTCTTGTACCACAAGTATTGTAACATTAAAAATACGAGGAAATGTAATGTCAAACTAATTTTGTCATTCCTGATTCTCCTTACTATATTTAAGATGTATAATTTTCATCAGGTTACTTGATTTGATAGACTGATTGGTTGGGGGTTGGTCGCAAGGCTAACAACCTTACACCGTAAAATGGAAGATGTTTCAAAACCTCGATCAAAGCCTCGGACGGACAGACCTAACGGAGGACCGAATTTAAGAGGAGAATTGAGGAGGCCATGGACCGAATACGGACCAGAGAGCCATAGAAGAAGAAGAAGAAGAATTTCACTGGAACATACACTGCTGTAATAATTGTCTTGACATGGTTGGCAGCCTTTTGCAAGTAGATGTGAAGGACATTTTGACTGATTTGCCACTGTAAATTTGAAATTCCAAAAATCATGAAGCTACCCTTGCAAGCCACCCTACTCTCAACAAATATCTTTTTGGTTTTACATAGACATATCTGATTGTTTAATAAAATCAGATTATTAGACTTGAATTTATTGTCAGTGTGTCCAAAATAGGTCATACTTTACACAACCTATTGTCACAGTCCTCTCATTGAACCACATTGTGAAGTAGACAAATTTGGATATTTGCTCAAAATGTCGTGCTTCAATATGCACTCTTCACTCAATTTCTTTCTTTGATTCTCAGTGTCTGTCTCCACTTCATCCTTCCATCTTCCTTACGGAATGTCTGCAATTTATTTTGATTCTTCTTCTTCTATGGCCCTCTGGTCTGTATTCGGTCCATGGCCTCCTCAATTCTCCTCTTCCATTCGGTCCTCCGTTATGTCCGTCTGTCGAGGCTATGATCGAGGTTTCGAAACATCTTCGTTTTTACGGTGCAAGGTTGTTAGCCTTGCGACTAACCCCCAACCTGGAGGACCAGGGTACCTGTCTTAGTCTGACCTCTCCCCCGAGGGAGGCCCTACTAGTAGCTCTTGGGGGTCACTGACGTACTCAAGCCCCACCACCGCGACAAGGTGCGGGTACAATGCAATAATGCTCATTACTTTAATAATTAATAAAATCAACTTTACTTAATTTATTCATATTAATGAGCAATATTGAGTTATTTCTATTGAGACAAATCAAAGATAAGGATGAGATTTAGGGTTCTGTGGTAGACGAGGAAGATTCACTACCAAGGAGTTGGGATGTTGGTTGATGTGTTTATTTCAAATATGTACCTCATAAGTTAATAGAAACATTTCTGTATGAGAATTAGCTGTAATAAAACACAAATTTAATACTTCAATAAACACATCTGTCCTCATAAATAAAAAATATACATATTAATACTTGGTATTCATACAATTTGTCATTTTACCAGGTATCCAGCGAATACCATTTGAGATTCTTACGGTGATGAAGATGTCTTGGTCTTCTGGATAGTAACGCCATGTGAGCTTGTGGGTTGATACCAATATTCAGAGAACATATTGCATCAACTCCAAAGATGGATGCAGTATGTTCCTCTGAAGCGCCGGTATCTACCTACAAGTCCGCACAATGTTACAACCCAGAAAACCATCATCTTAAGAATGAATATAACTTTAATCATGGTTAAAAACTCCTCCACATTACAAATAATAATGTCAAGTACTACTGTGAGGACATGTCTAAAAATGAGAATATATATATGTAATTTTTTCTTTGGTAAATAAATGGACACAAGAAAGTTTGAGCATTGTACTTTACACTAATAATCTTGCGTCATTCATAAAGCAACGAAATGAACGGTCGAGTGACGAACACGTGCGTGAAAGGTGCTTAAAACGTGTGTATGTACCAGCGTTTAACAAATGGTAAAGGTAAAGAAAGTTTCTGATGGAATTACTTTTTTGTGGGGCAGTAGTACACAATGGAATGTCACGCCAGTACCGTTCTTCATAACACAAAAATAACAACACTACTTTAGCGTTACTAAAAATAAGGAAACTATGAAGGTGCAGCAAAGCTGGCGACTTTCACACGTGGAATTCAACATTACTTTTTCACAATCTAAAGCTCTTATGCTTTGCCCCCCAAAAAACTCTCAAGTATTGTCCCACTCTTTGTGTCACTGCAAACTATCTCTTTTCTTCCTAAACAAAAAGCTACGCTCTTTAGACTGGTTAAAAAAAATTCAATAAGTGTCATTATAATGCCTTTTTAATGAAGTGGCCACTTTTCAAGTCACTCGATATGGAGGTAAAACTACTGACTGTTACATTCTTTTAAACACCCACCTTCAGCAATTCCAACATGACGGATATTACATCTGAGATGCAAGAACCTGAAAATGCTACGATAATAAATCTCAATTATTATGTCAGTCTTCTCATCAGCTACAGTTGTCACATCATTATCAGATTCATATAATTCTATGAACACAGTCTCCATGCTGAAGTATCTTAGACTGAAATAAAGACTGCTCTGCGACAATTTCCATAAACATCACACGACATGAAATAATTTATCCACGATCCCATGCGAATGTCCAATTCCATAATGCACCTGGAATTGCCCCTTCATTATAAATTAATTCAAACCGAGGATGCAATGGTCTACATATTTATCCCCACGTTACAAAATGATTTATTTAAGTAAAGTAAAGTTTGTCAGACTACGTGCTTGGGGTGAGTGGAGGTATAGCTCCTCTCTTCTTTGACCTCGGCACTAGATGGGGGTGAGTGGTCAGCATCACGCCCCGGCCAGCTTTACCCCCGGGAAAGGACCCCGGTACCCATTGTAGAGGAGGCTGGGTGGGCCCCAGAGCCGGTCTGGACGCAGAGGCCAGAGGGAAAATCCTCTGCCCCGGTCGGGGATCGAACCCCGGTCGTCCAGTCCGTAGCTAGTCACTATACTGACTGAGCTATCCCGGCTAATAATTTATTTAAGTAAAATATCGTAATATTTCTGTGTGGTCCTTCATAATACATACTAAGACTTGTTCTTTGGTCTGCAGTTTTATAGCTTGATACTGTCATAACAGCAACTACTTAAGTGAATTTTGTTGAACTGCGTGGTTCAAGGTTTTGTCGTTTGGGAGGGAAGTTTGTTCCACGACATCGCAGTCAAAGTCTGAAAATGTCACTGCTGTATTGCCTGAAGTTACAGAGAACCGAGGCCCATTCGGAAAGTACGACTCACGAATGCGACGCGGGGAAAACTGTAAAGAAGAGAACATCATAATTACAATCATCTAATTTTGGACAAATACACATTGGTCCATAAAAATTATAGTTTGGAAGAAAGGTACCTTATCCATTCAGATGTTTCCTTCCGCAGACAAAATCATATCAAAGTTAAATAAATTTAATTTTTAAGAATTATGAAATATTCTTACACAAAATGTCTGCTACTTCACAGTCCTTTCATCAAAATGCTCATACATTTCATGCCTGTAGGGTTCGTGATCTTGACAGCAATTTTTCGTAAGAGGTTTGAGGTCCTCATGGCGGTAAAGATGTCACTGGGCTAAAGACAGAGACAGGATGTTCCTCTGAAACCTTTCCTTCTCCCTACAAGTCTAAATGGCATTACTACCCAGAAGACAAACCAATTATTTTTTATAACACCGACATCTCATATTTGAGACGGATAAACTCTGGCTTCACACTGAGAAGACCCATACTAAAAACCCATTTTTTCTTAAGGTACAGTAAATTTGTATATTTAGTAGATTATAGTGTGTAAATTCAAATTAAATTTCCAATCTCCCATCAGGGCTTGCAAAATTAAGTCCATTTGAGACTGCAGAGCCAAGGAAAGAGAACAGCCTGGCTGAGAGTCGAACCGAGATCCTGTTCAGTCAAGTAATGATGCTCAGACGGTGAATTCAAGGAAGGCACGATGAACTGGGTATGTGAGAACAATAAATACGTACAAAATATTAGCTGAGGGAAATGCAGCTGCTTGGAATATGGCAGGAGATGGGAGAATAATATTAAAATGGATGTGGACAACCCTGGGAGCTGAGGCCGTACCTTTTTCGCTCGGGCGTCGGCAAAGCTGAAGTCCTTGAAGAAGGCGATGCCTTGTAGGGCAAGTAGACTGCGCAGGCGCGACTGCGGGTCCGGCTCCAGCAGCCGCTGCAGGAGGCCCTTTGCCGCCGGGCTGAAGCTGCAATCAACGGGCAACGAACCGGGGACCTTCTGATCCGACACTGCTATCCCTACTGCGGCCAACGGGAACTGCACAGACGTGCAATGATTAGGGGAATTGAGACATTCACAGAACGAGGAATTTCTTCACAGGGAAAATCTGTTGGATAAATTGGAAGACTGAGAAGGAGATGAGACGATAAAAATGGATCGAAGGAAATTTATCGACTGTAAGCTGGAGTGAACTGGCTCAAGGAAAGGTCAAAAAGCTAATTATTTTGGTGAAGATCTTCAGACACAGTAGAAAGACAATCCTTAAGAAAAATTGCATTCAGTGTTTTGAGTAATGTTCTTTCTGTGCTTAAGTTACACACATTCTTGACCTCGACTTTATATCGAGATGAGAGATAAGCTCCGACCGCTTCTGTTCCGGGGAAAGAGCGTTCTGGTTCTCGTTAGAGCTCCTGCCGGGAACCAAATCATCTAGCCTCTATAGACAAAGCTATTCCAGTTCACTGTTCATTCACATGTGGGTCATTTAATGACGACGTATCAACTGCAGGAGAAACAAGATTACACAACTTGACAGACCATATGCTTATATGGCAGGCCACGGATCTTCTAGTGGCAGGCAGTTGGTGGCACTCTGCTACTGGCCATGTGAAGGCTAATGACCAGAAGCACAGCGACGAGGGAACAAACAGGTTCTAGAATGAGGTGGGCAAAGCATTCAAGCACTGCCCCAGTCGGGTGCAGCTAGAGGGACTGGGGAAAACAGAGACACGACAGGGACTAAAACGCTGCATATTTTACGAAGGTATGTGACGTAGTTAGTCACGTCATCATTAAAATGTTAATCAGATTCTGTTTTCAACATACGTCCTGTATTCCTACGCCAGTAAGAAATTCAAACACACTGGGTTCATACTTC